GGCCCAGGCGCCGCCGGCAGAGGCCAGGCGCGCAGTAGGCGCACCGTTAGGAAAGCAGGCAGGACCTGCGGCCCTGTGGGCTGTGCTGCGTGCATGCTCGGCGGCTGGGATGAGCACGCTCCCGGGCGGGAGCCGGTAGAGACGCCTGGCATTCCTTCTCGGGGCCTTCTCCGCCAGCGTCTTCAGTCATCGTTTCCTTTGCTCTTGATCCCCAGAGACGGTTGATGGGTTCTGTCCTTTACGTTTAACATGAGGAGCCAGGCAGGAGGCGACCCGGGAACTAGCTCCGGAGGCACGGGCTTAGCAGTGAAGTGAGAACTTCCCACCGTGGGCGCTGACCAGAGCGGTGCCTGGTGGGAGGTGGGGGTTCCTGCAGGCGCCCGTGGAGATGCGGCGGCCACGTTGGCCACGTTGTGGTCGGCGGCGGGATGGCGTGTTCCCTGGCTGAGAGGTCAGATGGGGAGCCTCGAGGCCCTCTCCGCGGAGGCGCCTTCCGCCCCCTCCACAGGCCTCTGCCCGGCGTGGGTGTGGATGGCCTCGGAGCGGTCGGGAGCCCGCGTGCTGGGGCTGTGTCTGTGGATGTAAATCGTGCAAACGTGGAAAGGAGGCCCTCATCCGACGGCAATGGCCAGACCAGCATCGTCAGCGAGCAGAACCGGCTGCTGGGTTCCGTCCTGACCCAGTTTTCGATGAGTCCTCGGTTCTAGCCACCGCTCTATCCCTGGCGCCTGTGGGTGTTGGTGTGGGTGCTGGTGCGTGTGGGTGTGCGGTAATTATCTGAGTCTCAATGCCTTGTCCCCGGAACGGAAATAGCACTTACTTCTGTGTGTGTGTGTGTGTGTGTGTGTGTGTGCTGCTGCGGGGCCGGCAGTGGCCGGGCGTTCCCACAGGAGGCGCTCGGTGATGGGGAACTCGGCGGCGGGCTGGCGGGCGCTGCCGGCTGGGCCACATGCTGCGCTGCTGCTGAGCTGCGGGTGGTGCCCGCAGGTGTCGCTGGGAAAGTCGCTCCTGGGCACGTGCCCACAGGCGTGTGCGGAGCCACGTGCAGCACAGGGCGGCGATGACGAGACACAGCTGCTTGTTGTTGATAATAATAACCTCTGTCGAGCAGGCTGCTCCCTGGTGTTCTCTCTCAGAGGCTCTGGGAGGAAGCTCCAGGCCCAGCGGTGCCCTGGCTGCCATCGCCCTTGTGGCCACTGGGCGGGGCGGGGACGCGTGGAGGAGTTTGTCCCCTGGAGCCCTCCTGGGCGCCGGGGGCCTGTCCCCGGGAGAGAGCCCCCGCGGGCTCCCTGAGCCTCCCTGTGGGACGCGGCAGAGCGGGGGCAGCCTGTCCCAGCCCTCCCTCACTGGGTTGATTTTAGGAGTGACGTGGTTTTTAAATGTCAGAGGAAGTACCTCGCGCGTAGAAGAGTATACACAGCGTGTGTGCACAGTTGGAGAAGTAAATACAAAACGAACACCTGCATCCCCGTTGCCTCTTCTGAATAAATCCCAGAATCCCTTTGCCTGGTTCCCATGAGCCCCTGCTCTGGTCTCCTCCTCGCCTGCAGCCTCAGCGCTTCCCACACTCACCGCTGCTTCCTGGCCAGGGCTGCCTTCTGCGCACTCGCTGCCTCCGCACCTGTTACCCAGGCAGGGTGCCCTTCCGCTGTCACATCAGCTGGCCTAGAGGTCTCAGCTTACATCGTGTCCCCCCCCTCCTCCAGGGATGGCTGGCCCCTCAGGCAGGTCCAGACTCCCACAATGCCCTGGGCTCACATCACCATAGTGACCCGTTTGCCTTTTCCCTTTGCTAGGTCCTGAGGTGGTTGAGGACCGAAGGCCTTGTCTGCTCCTGCTCAGCAGGGCTCAGCTCAGGGTGCCTCGGGGTGTGGGGTGTGCACTGGAGCCCAGGCCTCCCTCGGTCCCTGGGGACACTGTGTTTCAGGCCAACGCGGAGCCTCCTCTCCAGGGAGCGACCGCCATTGTCCACGCGTGTGGCTCCTGGCGTGTCGGAATGTCCAGGTGGGAGCGCATCCTTGCACATACGGTCAGAATGAACTTCCTCGCCCAAGCCCTGGAATTACCCCGAGCCTCAGCAGCTCCAGAGCCAGCGAGTGGTGGAGAGAATGGGGGAGCCTCTGTGTCTGGCTTTGGGCACTGGGTGACCGTGTGGTACCCTCAGCACACTCAGGGGCCCAGGTTTCGTTCCAGGACTGGCATTCTTTTGAGAAACAAGTTTCTCCTAAAATTAAATGACTCCCAGGTGTACACGTTAGAATCAGCCTGGGACACCGTGACTGGGACCGCAGCCACTCACCAGACCAGGAAGAGCTGGGCCTTTAGGTTACTGAATCGGGCACTCCACGAAGGTGGGCCATCTCCCTCTCTACGCAGGCCTCCCCTTCTGTCTGCTAGTCAAGTTTTCCAATAGTCTTCCTCGAGCTTTTACACACTTTTGCTAGATGTACTGCACTTTATATTCAGAGACTATTGCGAAGGCTGTCTTGTGAAGTAAGTTATCTTTGTTGAGATACAACCTACATACCACACAATTCACCTGCTTTAAAGTGCTCAGCAGAGCACAGAGTCGCATGGCCATCACCGAAACCTAAACTTGATCACCCCCTGAGAGCCCGGTGGCTGCCAGCAGTCATTCCTCACCCTGGGCAAGAAGGGATGAGCGAGTAAGTGAGTGAGTGAGTGGGGGAAGGCACATTCCTGCATTGCCCACCGGCCTCAGCTTCTCTGATTTGTGTTGGGTGTTGCTCCCCTCCTGTTCCTATTACTGTTTTTCATGCCAGCACCCCAGCCTCCTTCCTTCTCCTCCCTGCTCTTCGTCCTCCACACCCTGGCCAGACCCTTTTCCCCAAAGACAACCACATGCCCCCACGGCTCTCCTGGCCCCGCTGGACAGGGAAGCCGCCCCGCAGTTCCGCAGCCGCATGGTTTCTGTGGAGAAGCTCTGGTCGCCTCCCGCCCCTGAGAAACTCCCTTTTGGAAGGCAGCTCGTCGGTGCGTAGGCGAAGTCCTCTGCTGGGCCCGCAGAGTCCCCGGAGAGCGCCAGAGCTGACCTGCTTATTCCTGCTCCTCCTCTTCCTCCCGAGGGGCGCTGCCTCGGTCACCCCGGGGAGGAGGCTAATTAGGTCCGGGAGCCGCAGCCTCCGGCGGGCGGGCGCTCTGTCCACCTGAGAGTCCGCAGCGGCGGTCTTCTGCTCTAAGGGCAGCATCACTGCCTCTCTCAGACCGACCTGGGCCGTCTGTGCCCGGCCCCGCAGCCCTGGGCAATGCCACTTCACTCCACAGTCTGGCCACTCCTCGCCCGCCTCCCCTGAGCGTGTGGTCCATGCTGGGTACCTGCTTGGAGGTACCAAAAGCTTGCCCCCTCTGGGCTCAAAGTCTAGCTAAGGAAAGAGAACAAGAAACAAGACACCCGTTCAAGAGCTAAGCGGCCCTGGCTGGTGTGGTTCAGAGGATAGAGCGTTGGCCTGCCGACCCAAGGGTCCCGGGTTCTATTCCGGTCAAGGGCATGTACCTTGGTTGCAAGCTCCTCCCCGGCCTGGGTCCTGCTCAGGGTGCCTGCAGGAGGCAACCAATCGATGTATTTCTCTCATATCGACGTTTCTGTCTCTCCCTCTCCTGTCCACTCTCTCTAAAAGTCAATGAAAACATCTTTTCGGGTGAGGATTGTAAAGAGAGAGAGGGAGGGTGTGCCTGGGGGGAGACATCTGTCCAGAGCAGAGCAGGGAGTGGCTTTCTTATGTGCTTTCTCCTCCCGGTGACTTCGTGCAAACCTGGGCCCTGGCGTCACCCCAGGGAAAGAGGGAGTGGATCTAAGGCTCACAAACAAGGAAGCAGACGCCGCCACGTGGGAAAGCTGCTTACAGAACCCACTGAGGCCCACATGTGACCGCACCTGGCCCCTGCCCCCGGCCGGCCCTCTCGGGCAGGTAGCCCATGGGCCATCACCCCGTATAAATTCTACTTCAAAAGACACACATTGCAAACAGATGCAGGACCCAGCCGATAGGCGCGTGCTCGGTGTGTAAGGGGAAGCGATAACATGTGCAGTTTCCCTTTAAATACACCCGAGCGAAAGATGGACAGACAGACACACCGGCAGGAAGCCGGCAAAGCAAGTGTAGTGGGCGTGTTAATTGCGGAAACTAGATGGAGTGTCTGGGTGATCCCTGTAAAGTATTTTCAACTTTGCTGTAAAAAAAGTCCTATAAAACGGGTCACGGGGCTGGGGGATCACACGTATGCTTGCCAGTGGACGTGGACAGGAATGGTCACAGCAGAACAATGGCCTCACACCGGAAGCAACGCAGTGCCCGGCAGGGAAATAGTCCCTCCCCTCCCTGCAGCACACTGCGCCACCGTGTGGCCATGGCCATTGTCTGGGCCACATGTGTCCCTCTGTGCACACGTGGTACACGTTGGGAGCTTCCTGTCCTCGGCTGTCACAGCTCATAGAGCACCCCTGTGCCTGTCTCCAGGGGCACACCCAGGAGAACAGGTGCCCAGCCCTGTTGTAGAACATGCTCTTCACTTTCCCAGGCCATGCCAAGGAACCTTCCAGAATGGTCGTACCGATGTATGCTCCTCTCCCCTGACTGTCCAATCCGGTCTCAGTAAGTTGCCTTCCGCAGGGCCCACCCACGCCTGCCCACATGGCAGCCAGCGCTCAGAGGGGCGCGACAGGGATGCCCCTTACCCACTGGGTGCGCACAGGGGTGGTCCAGTGCGTGGCGTGGGCAAACCCCACTGCCATGTGCCAGTGGGATGGCCACGCGGCTGTCTCCCTTTCGGCTCCAAGGAAGAGGGGTGAGCCAGCTCTCCATAGAGTGGGCGGAACCCAGGCCGGACGCCAGGGCTAAGCCAAGAGCAGCGAGTCCCAAGGTTGGATCCCTAGGTGACTGATTGTCCCTCCCACCCGTGACCTAGACCCTGGGCATGAACTCCCCACGCCCACCGATCGGCCCGGCGGTAACCCTTCTGCTGCCTCTTTCCCGCTGCAGGTTAGCCTGGGGAGGAAGATAAAGACACTGGCAACCAAGATGGTCCTCACGAGCGGCGGCGACGAGGACAGGGGGGGCCACGAGAAAGAGAGCAAAGAGGAGAGCGTCTTGGCGATGCTGGGGATCATCGGGACCATCCTCAACCTGGTCGTGATTATCTTCGTGTACATATACACCACGCTGTGAGCGTGCCGGGATGGCCCGGAGACGGGGCCCCGGCGTGCGGACACACCGGTGAGCGGACGCCGAGCACATAAGCAGGCCTGACCTACACGCCTCGCACTGGACCACACCTGCCACTCGACCAGATGCACCTTCGAACTTGGTAGAAGGTCACCAAACTGAGCCCGTCCTGCTGCCAGGAGCGGCCACTAAAGCACAATGAACCCCAAATCACTCCGGCCCACAGCAAGGAACTCCGGGTCTGCGGCAGGGCGCCCGGAGGGACAGGAGACCGGCCTCTGGCACCGTCGGTGAGCGGATGGGCGCCAAAACCCGACGCCCAGATGGCTGACCGATCCCCTGTCCTCAGAGCGAGGAGCAGGGCCGTGGGCCGCAGTGCACGGTGGGTCTCCCGGGACCCGAGTTCTGTCTTCGCTCCACGGCTGCCGAGTAGGAAGAGCCCCAGGGCCGTGGGCAGGCAGCCGCCGTCAGTGTCCCCGGGCTGCGGGGAGACACCGGGCTCTGCTCCTTTCCGTCGGCTTGCCATGCGCATCTGTTCATATCGAGGTTTATAAATATCTATTTTTAATAAATGTGCCGTTTTTAGCATGAACCAGACGTGGAGAGGCCCTCCCGGTTCCTCACGCTTCCTTTGGTTTTGTCCGCTTTGACCCCTGGGGTGCGGACGTCCTGTTGTGTAGTCATTCCCGTCCTGTTCCTCTGACCTTGAGTCTTCCACCTCCTCTCTCTCTCCCTCCCTCTCTCTCTCTCTCTCTCTCTCTCTCGGACATTTCCCATAATGCCGGCCGCGCCTTGCCGGTGCATGTCTAAGACTGCCCGTGGAGCGGCTGTGTTTGCTTGGAGTTAGACGTGACCGTGAGCATGCAGACCGTGGAGGCACCATATCCTTCCCGGGATTCACGCAGGGGCACAGCTGAGGGAGAGACCCCGAGCAGCTGGCGAAGGACTCTGGGGGAGGCGCAGCTGGCAGCGCCTGGTTCCGATCCCGAGACCCTTCGGGACGAGATTGTGATTTTAGCGGCCGGGTGCCGTGAGAGGTGGACAGAGCAGGGGTGCTCAGCGGTAGGTGGGTGGCCCCTTCCTTAGCGAGCCGCCTGGGTCCTTTTCAGAGTAGGTGGGGGGTAAGTGACCCCCGACTCCCCGTGAGAGCTCACTTCCAGCTGTGAGGACACGCCTGGACACGGCGCTGGGCGTCTGAACGTTCCAGGTGACACCCACGTGAAGGGCTTCCCCCTGGCAGGGGGGCTGAGTACGGGAAAGTTCCCTGTTCTCCCCGAGGCAGCCTGGCCCGGCCGCAGCCACGTGGCCTGGCAAGAGGGTTGGCCAGCACCAGCCTTCCCGTGGGCGAAAGCAGCAGCCGCCTGCCTCAGTTCGAGGGGTGCCCAGAGGTCTGCCACCAGGGGTGTCCCTGCCGTGTGTGCGGGCTGAGGCCCCGCTCTCCGAGAGTCATCGCTTGGGCTCTTTTAAGGGGACAGACTCCTTTATAAGCAAAGGCCCCTGTGCCCCTGGCCCTGAGGGCGACTCACCAGGTGTCCCCGTGGGAGAAAGGAAGGAAGAAGGAAGGAAGGAAGGAAGGAAGGAAGGAAGGAAGGAAGGAAGGGAGGGAGGGAGGGAAGGAAAGAGGAAGGAAGGAGGGAGGAAGGAAGGAAGGGAGGAGGAAGGAAGGAGGAAGGAAGGAAGGAAGGAGGAAGGAAGGAGGAAGGAAGGGAGGAAAGAGGAAGGAAGGAGGGAGGGAGGGAGGGAGGAAGGAAGGAAGGAAGGAAGGGAGGAGGAAGGAAGGAGGAAGGAAGGAGGAAGGGAGGAAAGAGGAAGGAAGGAGGGAGGAAGGAAGGAAGGAGGAAGGAAGGAAGGAAGGAAGGAAGGAAGGAAGGAAGGAAGGAAGCTGGGGCCCAGGGCACGCGGCAGCCTGACCCTCCATGGTCCTGAAGTCGCTGCGTTCCTGCAGGGACCCTGGAGAAGAGGGAGGCTCTGCGAGGTCAGGAAGAGGTCCCTGAGGTCACGAGGCTCCCAGCAGGGAGCCAGGACACAAGCCTCGGCTGGCCTGATGCCTTAGCCGGTGGGGCTGGAGGCTGCTGGGGAGACGAGGAGGGGGATGGGGGACGTTTCAGGAAACGGCCTGGGGTCAGGATGGCTTTGCTGAGGGCCAGCTCTGCACACCTCCCCCCTCCGCTCCCCGTGAGAGGACACAGCGCGGAGCGCCCACGTGAGGACGCGGGGAGAGGCTGGGCTTGGCTGGAACGTGGTGTCGGGGGGGGGGGGGGCCGCTCTGCCGGTCTGTGTGGCTCTGAAAACTGTATGGAAATGCTGGCCAGTGGCAGAGCGAACAATAAAGGTGCCATGGAAACCGCCTCGGTGCCCTTTTCTTCAGCCTCGTGGTGTCTGTCTTCGTGCTTCGGTCCCACTCCTTTGTGTAGCTGCATTTTTAAAGGAACGCCTGCATGCCACTGTCGAGTGGAGACTCTCCCTTAGGCTGCAGGACCCCGGGGCCTGACCAGGGTGCTCAGGTTACAGTGACTGAGGGGGGGGTGTTCTGCAGTGGTCAGGGCGGCTCCGCGACGGTTCTTCGGATTGTCTACATCCATGGGCTGGACCAGAGGCCCTCAGTCAGCAGCCCGAGCTCGCCCTTACTTCCCTTCTCCTGTAGCGGAGCCCATGAGCACACCCCGGGCAGCTCAGCACCGGAGGCACCGCGAGGGGCTCTCATTCAGAACTGCAAGCTGCCTGGGAGGTGGGTGCTCCGTCGCCCTGCACCCCCTCCCCTGCCCCCGGCCCACAGAGGGGGAGAAGGAGAGGCCCTGCAGCCTGCCCAGAGTTGCTATCACTGAGCAGTAGCAGAGCCAGAGTTCAAACTCGGCTCTTCCCGGCTCTGGCCTGCTGGCTAGGGTAGGTGATGCTAGCTGTGGTAACAGACAGAGGCCAAGCTCTCGTCTGCGCGGCAACGGCACGCAGAGTTCTGCACTTGAGCTTGATTTAGGTCAGAGAGCCTGACGCGGGAGAGAGGGACACTATTCCTCACTGAAGACGTGCCCAGCAAGCTGAACATAGTATCTCTGGAAACGTTCAGTTGCTTCATCCCAGAGACAAGGACACTGAGGCACATCGAGGGTCAGTCGTTTGCCCAGTGAGTGACAAAGCTGGGACCCGAACCAAGATGGTCCGACACCAAAGGCTTTGGATGTTGGCGTCGTGTTGCTAGGGAATCCCAGCAGCTGACCCCTGGGACGGAAAAGGGGGTAGACTGGCCTCAGGAGACTACAATCACACATGGGACCTGGGGGCCCAGCGCACAATCCTCTCCCATTCCTGCTTGCCATCCTCAGGCCGCAGAATTCCAGCTGGCGCCCCACTCCCTACCCCCTCACTGCACCACAGAACGGACACAGCAGTGTTCAGTGGAAGCTTCCAGACCTCCAGTGAGCCCTTCCTCCGAAAAGTAGGGTCTGTGGACTCAGTTATTCATTCATTCAGCACGTGCGCAGTGCCTCCTGGGTTCCAGGCCATGTGGGAGGTCAGAGCTCCAGAGAGGGTTGTGACAGTGGGGGGCTGGGGGGTCCCCTCCATCTGTGAGGACAGGCGGTCAGGAGACACACCGCCGTCACACACACTCCCCTCTCTCTGCCACTGCCTAATGACTCTGGGTTGGCCCAGAACCTGGTGTTTTTAATCTGAAAGTTTCCTCCAAGTGCGGGCTTTTCGATTCCTGGCCCCATGATTCTTTGCAGGGTCAACATCCTGTGGTCTGAGTGAAGTCCCTCAATTGGTTGGATGCCATCGGCGTTCATAGATGTAGCATCATCCCGACAGCCAGCCTCAGCTTCTACAATATTTATGACCCATGGCATGGGCCCTTGTATGTCCTCTGAAATATTAAACTTCCACAGAACAGACTGCCAAAAGCGGGCTGCAGCCCAGGGCACACTTAATACCAGCTCTTTCATTAAAAACCAAATAGGAATAAGAGCGGCTAGTAATTCGCAGATGAGCCCAAGGTCTCAGAAGCTGAGAGGAACGTTAGGTGCACCAGGCACTCTGTAGACCATGCTCTTCCACCCAGGTCCCAGCGAGAGGGGCTGGCTCCCAGCACGGGCCCCGGAGCCAGGCTGTCGGGCGCTGCCTGCAGTCCATCACTTGCTGAATGGCTGGCTGTCTCTCAGATCTCTCTCCTTCCCCACTCGACTCTGTGCTCCAAACGGCTGAACACTGTGGGCCATGGCCACAGGTACCCTGACTTCTCATGTCCAGCTGGGCTCAGCTAATGGGGAGCCCCGGGAGAGATGGAGGGAGTGGACAGGCAGGGTGAGGAGTTTACCCAGACCCCGGGTCCCCCCCTGATGGACCGCGATGGGCTCATCCAAAGGCCACATCTCTCCGATGCCCAGCTGACCCGCGGGCTCAGGTACCTACTCCCTCCTCTGCCTCAGCGGTGGCCACAGCTCCCTCAGCTACTCGCCCCGCGGCACTCAATGCGTCATCGCCAATTGCTTTCCCTGAACTCTCTGTCCTTACATTTGTATTCGGTTTAATCTTGTAAAATGGCCATTGTGAAGGCCAACAATGATCAAATGTCGGCAATCTCACATGTTTGAACCTGACAAACTGTGATTTCATTTACCAGCTTGTGTCTGTTACCTCCCAGCAGAACCCTGGCTGATACAGAGGATGGATGACCTTGCCCTGGCCCCTTAACCTTCCTGTGCCTCCTCTGCTCCCCTGTAAGATGAAGGCGATGCTCATGTTAGTGCCTACTTCAGAGAATTGCTGGAGGGATGTAATGAGCTCATGTGTACAAGGTGCTAAAAAGGTGCCTGAGCCCCTAACAGGTTTGGCTCAGTGGATAGAACGTCAGCCTGCAGACTGAAGGGTCCCAGGTTCAATTCTGGTCAAGGCATGTACCTTGGTTGTGGGCACATCCCCAGTGAGGGGTGTACAGGAGGCAGCTGGTCAATGTTTCTCTCTCATTCATGTTTCTAACTCTCTATTCTTCTCCCTTCCTCTCTGTAAAGAAAATCAATAATATATATATATATATATATATATATATATATATATATATATATATATGTAATTGATTTTTTTTTAAGGTACCTGACAAGTACTAGGGGCTCAGTGGACAATGGGGAAAGGAGACAGGAGAGTCAGGAGAATGGACTCTGAGCGGGAAGGTGAGAGCCCCTGCAGTCCTCAAGGAGAAGGATGGAGATGATGTGTATGTATGTCGTTCTCTGTTGCTCAGAAAAATCCATCACACGTTCCATGTTAGTTGTTCAATGAAGTATCCATTGAGTGCCTACTCTGTGGCAGCCAGGCACCATGGAAACACAACAGAGAGTCTGTCAGGGACCCTCATCTTCCCCACCCCCAACTCTTGGGAAGAATGCAGGCCAGGATGCTGAAAGTTACTCAGAAATGCCAAGGTGAGGGAGGGCAATGGCGACATGGAGTCCCAGGGAGACCGACCCCAGACCCTAGCTTAGGCTTTTGTGCTTTTTGTTCCTGTTCCCTCATCCTGAAACACCCTTCCCCACACTTCCTCTTCTAGGAAGCCTTCCTTCCATGCCCCTAGACCTCCGGGTAGGAGTGGTGACCTCTGAGGAC